GTTTCTTACTGCGTTTTCCACCTACTATTGAAACAATTTCATTGTATCTCAGATTTCATCTATTTAAATTTAACATTTTTTATTATTAATTATTGTAATATACCAACAAGTAGAAAAAAATAATTGTTTTTAAAAATGGTATAAAAACAAAAAAAGATTTATAATGTTAATTTCTAAAGATTATTTAGATACTATCAGTAATTATAGAAAATGCATCCATACATTAGTGCTTTGGAGAAAACATAAACATAACTGAAGACCTTGACATTATTGATAACAGAATAAAAATAAATTAAACAATTGAGTATTTAAATAATTGAATTTAAATACATATATTTTAAAACAATATTTAAATAATTGAATAAATCTTACCTGATATTTGAAAAGTGGGCTGAATGAGAATTAAAAAAATTAGAAAGAAAAAAGTAGGCATTGTGAACAATAAAACATTCCAGAAAACTACCCTGAAATTAAGAACCAACTGAGGTAGCTTCTACTATGGAATTCCTTTATATATATGAGCAAAGAAGACAGAAATATTCACTTCTGCCTTCAGTGTTATGAAATGTGTATTGTAATAAGTAGGTCTATGAATAATATTTGGCTTCCATGTAAAAGACTTATTTCCATAGAAATTTTCTCAGGAATTGACAGCTAATCTTTAAACACCCATCATTCATATATCTATACATGCATACTCTACATGCCTATTAAACTATTCTCTTTGAGAATAAGAAACACTTTAAATGAAATAAAATACTATTTATTCAGTCAGTGACTAGTAAAAGTAAAATCAAATTGTTGAAATAAAATACCAGCATAACAAGGAGTCTCTATTATAAAAAATATAACACACTACTATGATGATAGCTACGAGTGCAAATATAAATCTAAAATATTATAATATATCAGGTAAAAATACATGTCAACTAAAACAAAATAGCAAACAGCTGGTAACTCTTTTTTCTATTGTTATTTTTATTCAAAAAAAGTCAAAATACAAAACTCCCACATTTTTTTAAAAAAATAAACAAATGAAGAAAAAAACCAAAACAAACAAGACATTAAAAAGCGCACATTAAAAAAGAAAAAACCCTAACACATGTAGACATAATATCCCCCTGTTTGAACACTGATTAATACATTACTATAATAGTTCAATTTCCCATCCATTGCGAAACAGCCTCCAAAATTCTTAAACTACTAAATCTATTTGCAAATTATTAACCTATGATCTATATACTTTATTAACAGAATAACAGAGGTGGAAGGGATCTTGGAGATCTTCTAGTCCAACCCCCTGCTCAGACAGGAAACCTATACCATTTCAGACAAATTATTATCCAATCTTTTCTTGAAAACTTCCAGTGTTGGAGCATCCACAACTTCTGGAGGCAAGTTGTTCCCCTGATTAACTGTTCTAACTGTCAGGAAATTTCTCCTTAGTTCTAGGTTGCTTCTCTCCTTGATTAGTTTCCATCTATTGTTTCTTGTCTTCTCTCATGTGCTTTGGAGAATAGGCTGATTCTCTCTTCTTTATATTGGAACTCTGCTGTCATGTCACATCTAGTCCTTTTTATTATTATTAAAGTAGACATACCCAATTACTGCAACTGTCCCCCCCATCCCCTAATCATCTTTGTTGCTCTTCTCTCAGTCTCAACATCTTTTTTATATTGTGGCAACCAAAACTGGATGCAGTATTCCAAGTGTGGTCTTACCAAGGCATTATAAATTGGTATTAACACTTCACATGATCTTGATTCTATCCCTCTGTTAATGCAGCCTAGGACTGCATTGGTTTTTTTGGCAGCTGCAGCACACTGCTGGCTCATATTTAAGTGATTGTCCACTAGGACTCCAAGATCCCTCTCACAGTTACTACAATTGAGCCAGGTACCACCTATACTATACCTGGGCATTTGGTTTTTCTTGCTTAAATGCAGAACCTTACTTTTTCACCATTGAATTTCATTTTGTTAGATAGGGCCCAATGTTGAAGTCTGTCAAGATCCTTCTATATCTTAAGCCTATCTTCGGAGTGCTGGCTGTTCCTGCTAGCTTGATGTCATCTGAAAATTTGATGAGTTCCCCATCTAACCCCTCATTTAAATCATTGATGAAGATGTTGAAGAGTACTGGGCCTTGGAGTACCCCACAGCATACTTCCCTCCATGTAGATGCAGTTACTTTGAGTGTGGTTGGTCAGCCAGTCACTAATCCATCTGACGGTTATGCTGTCTAACCCACAGTTTATTATCTTATCAAGTAGTATGTTGTGGTCTACTATATCAAATGTCTTGCTGAAATCCAAGTAAGTTATATCCACAGCATTTATCTGATCCACTAATTTTGTCACTTTGTCAAGGAATGCAATAAGCTTAGTCTGACAAGACCCATGCTGACTTTTGGTTATGACTTTGTTTGCCTCTAGGTGTTCACAGATTTGTTGCTTGATTATTTTTTATCTGAGAATCTTCCCAGGTATTGATGTCAGGCTGATATGCCTGTAGTTTCCTTGATCCATTATTAACAATTAATAACAAAATAGTTAACAAGAAAAACAATAATAACTAAAAAAGGTCAGGTTAAAGTTTCAAAACCCTCTGTTAACAAAATGTTATTGTAATCAACTTGTAGAAAATTTCCCATGTATCTTATCTATCCTAAATTGCCCAAGAGTTAACAGTAATTCTTCCTGTATCAAATATCCACATTTGTTTCTTAATCCAATAATCTTACCAATTATTGCCTGGTTAAATATAATAAATTCAATCTCCAAAGTCAATCTATCTTATGAGGCCAGAAATTGTTTTCCAGTTAAGTGTAATAAATCTATTCCCAATATTCTTCAGTCTTCCTTTGAAAAATCAATTTATCACTTCCCCATTCAGCCAGGTTTCTCTGTTATAAAAGAACTTCAGAGAGGCATATGCAGCCACCCCATTCAGCCAGGTTTCTCTGTTATAAACTTGAACTTCAGAGAGGCATATGCAGTCAACTCTTCTCAGTCTGTACTGTCCATATTTCTTTCCAGTGGATCTTCTGCTTTTAAATCAAATTCCTTTTGTGAATTTAATTTATGCAGTGCTACATGCATATGAATATTTTCCACAGCCATGATCATTTCATCAACCTTTTGAAAAGTAAAATGTCCCCTAAGAGAAAATAAGGTGCCTAACCATGAGTCAGATGAACCCAGTGCCAAGCTTCTTATGGAAGTATTTGAGAAAAAGTTTTCGATGTTACATGGCATGCGACAAGAGATGAATGAAAAATCTGATAAAAAGTTTGAATTATTAATAACAGAGTTAAAACAAACCAAAGAAGATATTAAAAATATACAGATTGGATTGGATAAGACAGATATAAGGTTGGATTTTTTTCATTCAAATGTACTATTATTGGATTTGAAACAGAAGGAAGTTTTTCTGAAGCTAAGAGGAATTTTTGAAGGAATCCAAAACCTAAGAGATATAGTTGTAACAGAAGTTACTAAATGGTTTAATGATGAGAAATGAGATTTCTCTAAATAAATAGACAAAATTTACAGAATAAATTCAGCATATGCAGTCAGAAGAAATTGCCAAGAAATGTTATGATCCAATTTGTAAGAAAATCTATCAAACAACAAGTAATTCAGAAGCATTACCATCAGAAATTTAGTATTTCTGGAAAGAAGGTCCAAATATTTAGAAAATTACAACTATAATATTAAAGAAACGTAAAAAATATTTCTTCCTGACAGATCTCTTTAAACAAAATAACATTCTCTTTCATTGGGAATGTTGGGACAAATTTAGAAATTTGTCCCATTATAGACTAAACACAGTCTCTAAACACAAGATTTTATGAAAAGATATGGACTGGAATTTCACCATTTTTCAAAAGACAAAGATCAGTTATCACAAGAAATAGGCCTGAAAAAAAACCCCAAAAAGAGTTTTGATGCTGATCAAGGACTGGCTGTGGAAATGGAAGCCACAGCAAGAGTGCCTGGAACCTCCTCTTTATAATAGATGGATTGCAAGATTCTGATATGGAATGTTAACGAGGCAAATTCCCACAAAAGAAAAAAAACATTATTTGAAAAAAGTAAATCATAATATAATATGTTTGCAAGAAACCCATATCAAAGAGACTGACAAAAAGTATTTAATAATAGTTATTTCTGCTAACTATAAGAAAATTAATGGGGTAGTTTTGTATATAAAACCCCAATTACATCCATATTTACTGTTCACTGATGATCAAGGCAGATATGCAATTGTGCAAATTGAATTACAAAGAATAAAATCTATTGTATGGGGATTATATGCTCCACACCAAGCAAAGCTATGTTTTTAAAACATTTGTCTGAACATTTACTCTCATATTCTTTTCAGTATTGGTGTGTAATTGGAGATTTCAATGGGATGGTAATCTTACAATTTCACAGATTAGCTGATAAAGGAATTAAAGAAACCCAAGAAAAACTGCCCCAAACTTTTTTTGAACTGACTCATACTTTAGGCTTGACTAATGTATGGAGATGTAACAATAGACTGACAAAAGACTTTCTTTTTAGAGAGACACAAATCTTTTTCCATAATCGATATGATTTGGATTACAAAATTACATCTTAACTTTGGTTCTCAGTCTTTCAAATGGATATTAAATGAGTCTCTATTAAAGAGGCCACAGATTGTTAAAGAATGTAAACAAATACTTCAGGATTACAACAATTTGGGATCCAAGTAAAGCAGTGATAAGAGGATATCTGATACAACACAATGTAGTAATTAAGAAAATGAACGGAAAAATTCAAAAAGTTTTACAAGAAATTAAATTGAAGAAAAGAGAGCTCGACAAAACACCAGAGGATCCCAATATACTTAATCAACTAAAATTGCTGCAACAACAAATTTCTTTGCTGACTGTTTCAGATATTGAAAAGAAATTGAAATATACAAAACAAACTTTTTTTGAAGATGCAAATAAACCAGGGAAATGATTGGCACGCAAATTAAGAAAGATGGAAAAGAAGGTGATAATTAAACTACAAGATGGAAATAAGACTTACACAGATAACAAAAATATTCAAAAACTTTTTGGGAATTACTATACTAATTTATATAAGAAATAGGACATCTCTTTAGAAAGTATTGAAGATTATATATCAACCTAAAATTTTCCTAAATGACTGGAAAACTACAAGCAAATTCTAAACAGTCCAATAATAACCTTTGAAATAACAAACGCAATTAAAAGAGCCAAAACAGCTAAAGTTCCAGGACCTGATGGTTTACTGACTGAATTTTATAAAATCTTTGAAGATCAGTTACTTATTCTGATAAAGGACTGAATGAACTCAAGATTCATGAAAACATTTCTACATCTCTTTTGTTCTGTTCGTGAGTCACAGGCATTGAGACGAAGCGAGTAACACAAAAG